TATATATATATATATAGTTATAGCTGTATAATTAGTTGTTAATTATTAAATTAATTCATTTGTTTTGTTCAATGTGTACACTGTTCCAAGAGCATACACAGACTTGACCTAAAGAATGCTTTCCCCAAATCTCTCGTTCTTTTTCTGTAAGGTGTGTCTGGCTCCGTCCTCACCTCCTACCTTTCATTTCGTGCTGGTGAATTCTCTCCACCGAATCATCACTAATGTAAGAGCTCCTGGTGTCCTTAGTTCACTTCAGAGAGATAAGATGTCTGATTCACTCCCAGGGTGTCCAAATGTCCTCTGTGTGTCTTCCATCATGTTCTAGTCCCCGCTGGACTCATGGCCGAAGATCGATACCGTGTACTGTTACTCGGGAGAGCTGCAACTCATGTTTGCTGAGACTCTGGGGAGAGCGGTGCAGGGCTGCAGCAGTCACGCCCCCCTCCGTATGACCTCGGTGAGACGCCCGCAAAACTTCTCAGATATAAGATCACCTCTAGTGTCCTGCTAGCAGTCTGACATGGGGGAAAGATGCTGGGAATAGAATATTTGTGTACTGCACAGTTTAATGCAGACAGGCTACTACTTTTAGACGTAGTATGTGAAACAGCATATAGTATGCTACAATGAATGTTCCAAATAGTCCATGACATCACTGTTGCATAATTAATTCATAGAGTGGCAAGCAGTCATCTCAGAAATGAATATGGCAGTTTAGCATTTTTAATTCAGTTTAGGAAAAAAAGATCAAAATCACAGATAAAATATATGTAAATAATACTTATACATTTAAATTTACGAAGTTTATGAACTGTGTATGGTATATAAATTAAGAAATTAAAATGAATACTTCATGAGTACATCATATCTGTCTTCCTCTCAGAGTTTGACGTTGAAAATGAGCAGTCTGAAATTTAAAGAGAAAACCACTGATCTGGACACCAGGAGTCACAAGTATCTGCTTTTGGCTTTAGTGAAACTCATCCATGCAGATCCCAAACTGATGCTACATGTGAGTGGTTCAGCTTTATAAAGATATGTGATACTTATAAAGTTATGCTCTGCTGTACTTTTAATGTCACGTGTCACCACTGATAAGCTACCACTAAATATTGTAGAAACTTAATTTGCTGTAAAGTTGCTTTGCAATGATTTGTATCGTGAAAAGCGCTGTACAAATAAACTTGACTTGACTTGACTTGACGTGTGTGTTTGTGAATCAGAATCCAGGTAAACAGGGTCTGGAGGTCCACAGCAGCACGGCGGATCTCATCACAGGACTGGTGCAGCTTGTGCCTCTTGCTAACATGGGAGATATTTCCCAAGAGGCCATGGAGGTGAGATCATTGTATCTCTCTGTTTATCTGGTGCCTCTAGCATGAGTTTAGATAGTCTGTGTGTACGTTTTCAGTCATAATCTGTCTCTGTCTTAGGCTCTTTTGGTCCTGCATCAGTCTGAAAGCATCGAACTGTGGAACCCAGATGCTCCTATGGAAACTTTCTGGGACATCAGGTAGCTCCTCAGTGGACTCGACTCCAGAGAATAGTTGCTGATAGAAATAATAGAAATTGCCCTGTTAATTGTGTATTTGCTGTCGGTCCAGTTCTCAGGTGCTGTTCTTCATCTGTAAGAAGCTGTTTGGTCATCAGCTGATCAACAGCACTGAGATTCTGAAGTGGCTGCGAGAGATTCTCATCTGCAGAAACAAATTTCTTCTCAGGAACAAGGTGAGTCGGCCCTCTGCACCCAGGGCATTATGGGTAAAATGTTTGCATACCCTTGACTACATCATCTGGATATTTCTAAAAACATCAATTACATTTCCTTGTTTTTTAATCTTTCACTTTTGTTTTTCCTCTTGTTACTGTTGTTATCTGGCTTGTTTTTATATCCTGAACTGGGAAGCACTTGTGCAGTACAAATAAAATTTAATTTTTTTTAAATAAAAATTAATATAAATTATTATTATATATTTTATTACAACAACAATAATAATAACTTTTATTATTAATATCACTATTATTATTATTATCATCAATTGTGTGGGGTACAAATACAATTTAAATATTAAAATTAATAATAATAATAAATAATATATACTACTACTACTACTACTAATTATTATTATTATTATTATTGGCAAGATGAAATGTACAACCAAACTACACTACTATACCTTATCCCACAATGCAGTGTGTTTGACCTGACTTTCCTGTGTAGCAAAAGAGCAAGGATATCAACCAGGAAATGTAAAAAAAAAAAATTGGGGTGAAAAATATGAAATGACCAATATTGACTATATTGCACTAATTAAATTTTTTTTTTCTTTCTTTTATCTGTTCTTCTCTTACAGGATCGGGCCACAGCAGGCAGCAACATTGCCATCTGCCGGCAGGCCCAGACCAAGCTGGAGGTCTGTCTTTACATGTTCCTGTGGAGTCCAGACATGGAGGCAGTTCTGGTGGCCATGTCCTGTTTCCGCTACCTGTGTGAGGAGGCAGACATCCGCTGCAGTGGGGAAGACATTCCTGTGCAGTCCCTTCTGCCAAACTACAACACTTTCATGGAGTTTGCATCTGTCAGTAATATGATGATTACAGGTTTGTCTGATAAACTAGTTTGAATTTATGGATTCAGACACATACCTCTGTTTTTTTAGATTTGTGAGTTATGTTACAGGTGCCTCTAGAGGGCAGCACAGTTTTTGTGATCTTTCTGATTTTTCTAGGTCGTTCGGCTCTACAGAAGAGAGTAATGGCTTTGCTTCGGAGGATTGAGTTGCCCACCCCGGGAAACACAGAGGTTAGAAGTCACACATTTACACATGTAATGCCATTGTACAGTAGTAGAGTGATTTTGGTTGGTTGACGAACACATTTGCATCTTCCTGGTTGTGTGCCATTGTATTATTTAACATAATTGTTTTGAATCGGAGCCTTTTAGCATATGTAAAACTTGATTTGTTTTACAAATAATGTGGTTGTATTTCACAGTCTAGTACTTGTGTGCTGTTTCTGTGGTTTGTTTCAAAAAAATCTATTTTTTGAAGATAACATGGATGACAGAATTTAACAGCTCTGTTTGGTCATTTCAGGCCTGGGAGGACACACATGCTAAATGGGAACATGCAACCAAATTAATTTTAAGCCACCCGAAAACGAAACTAGAAGACAGTCAGGTCAGACACACCTACACTCAGCATCTGTACAGGGCCTACAATTAGAAAATCGATTTTTGTCTACATATGGGTGATTTTTCAGTTTAAGGGACATTTCTGTCCATTAGGTTAATTTGTAAAGAAAACAAATGCTTTAAAATCATTCTTATATTATTAACGTTCTTATTAATTATTATTAGTTTATAAAATATATAATCATTTTTTTCATATATTGCATTATTTTGAATATGTTGTAATATTTTTTCTCTTTAAATACCTTTTCCTAATTTGTAGTGTTGAAACTTAACATTTATCACTTTACACTTTTTCTTTTTAGAGAATAGTTGTTTTTCCAAAAATGTGAGTAGTGTTTTTTTTTTTTTTTTAACCAAATCGGTTATTATTGTATTATTTGAGAATTATTAGAAAATTCTGTTTAATTCAAACTATCAATTTTATCAGCTTAAGTTTAAATATATATATATATATATATATATTTATGTCACTTACATCAAATGTCATTGGTACTTATGCCTCTGTGCTCATATGTTTAGGTGCCAATTAATGAGACCAACACGCAGTTTGTGGAGCAGACCATCGCCATCATGAAGAACCTTCTTGACAACCATACGGAAGGAAGCTCAGAGCATCTGGGTCAAGCCAGCATTGAGACCATGATGCTTAACCTGGTCAGGTAAGTCATTTGTTTGCTTGTTAGTATCAGCTTTGCTGTGAAGATCATTCTTTAAATAAATGTTTCCAGATATATTTGTCTTTCATCATTTACTAAAGAGGAATTTGAGAAATTTGTCCAGGGCTCTACAGAACAGTTTTTTTTTCTGCTTGCTCGGTCGTACCAGAAGTTCAGATTTCTGCTATAATATAATTTTATAAAAAATGTATATAATTATACTGTTCAAAAGTTTGGGACTGGTAGTATTTTTAAAATGTTTTTGTAAAAACATCTTTTATGGTCACTGTGATGAGTGGGGTGGGAACGGAGCGAGGCCGGTGACGCGAGTGATAATGAGCATCACCTGTGTGCCACACTGGTCTCGAGTCCCACGGAGGAGCTCTGGAAGGATGTGAAGGACGAGAGAGGACCAGGCCTGGACTTGATGTTGTATTTTGTTTATGTTTGTGTGCTGCAGTCCTCTGTGAGGGGCTGCCACCTTTACTTTAGATTTTGTGTTCGTTTATTTGACAATTAAAGTTTTATGTCCGAATGTTCACCGGTTCCCGCCTCCTCCTCCTCGTAGCTACGAACTGCGTTAGTCACCAAGACTGCATTTATTTGATCAACAATACAGTAAAAACTAATATTAATTTAAAATAACAGTTTACTATTTTACTAAATATTATTTTATTGAATGAATAGAATGTTATAAAGTTAAATATAATTTTTTTGTAGCATGATAAATGTCCTTACTGTCACTTTTCATCAGTTTAATCTATCATTGATTAATAAAAGTATTAAAGGGTTAGTTCACCCCAAAATGAAAATTCTGTCATTAATTACTCACCCTCATGTCGTTCCAAACCCGTAAGACCTTCGTTCATCTTCGGAACACAAATTAAGATATTTTTGATGAATTGTGAGAGCATTTCTCAGACCCTGCATAGACTGCAACGCAACTGTAATGTTCCCAGGGCCAGAAACGTAGTAAGGACATCGGTAAATCAGTCCATGTGACATCAGTGGCTCAACTTCAGTTTTGCGAAGCTACGAGAATACTTTTTGAGCGCAAAGCAAAACAAAAACAAAAATAACATAATTTATTTAACAATTCTTCTCCCCCGAGTTACGTCTTCCACCATTTTGGAGAGTACCCAAGAGCGTAATCGACGTAATCAGCGTTATTTACGTTCATGGGAGAAAGCGCGCGCATGAACGTAATCTGCGTAATCAGCGTTGTTTACGCTGGTCCTGACTAAGATCCTGCAGCAGGGGACAGAGTTTGACACGCTGGCAGAGACTGCGCTGGCTGATCGCTTTGAGAGGCTTGTGGAACTTGTCACAATGATGGGGGATCAGGGGGAGTTACCTATCGCCATGGCGCTGGCCAATGTGGTCCCTTGTTCACAGTGGGTGGGTACTTTATGCAAATAATCTTTTCTTTTTTTTTTAACAGTGCAATATGAGTAATTAATTCAGCTATAATTGTGCAACATAATTCAGACAATTGTTTTTCACAATTCTGTATGTTACATATATATATGTATATATATATATATATTTATTTTAATACATTTTTTAAAAATTGCTTAACTTTTTACTTCAAACAATTGTAACGTTGAGAATCTTTCAAACTTGAGAATCTCTTATCGACGTACAATAGTAGAGTCTTTGCAAGTCAAAATCTAACCATCAATGATTATTTGCATACTGATTTGGCAATGGTCTTAGACAGATTCACATATTAATTTTGATTTGTTTTTTTCCCCCTTATCTATTCAACCATCTATATTATTATCATTCTCTTTCTCTATCTTTTTTTTGATGTTTGAGTTTAACTTTTTTTACTATTTATTTTCATTAATTTTATCTAGAACAGTTGTTCTCAACCTTTTTGACTTGAAGGCTCCTCATGAACGTTATTTCTGATATTTCTGCTGTAATTATGACAAAGCTACTTGTTTTCAAACTTTTTTTTATTAACAAATACTGGGAGTATTGATATATTAAATTATAAATTAAGCACAATTCATTTTGTGATGGCAAAAGTTTCAAGAAATGTAGGTTCTTCAATATTAACAATACTTTTTGTGGGTTGTGGGGGAAGAAAACTGATTTCATCTTCATGATTTAATTTTTGTAGCATTTGTATTTAGATTACAGCTAGATTATTTTAATATAGTAACAATCATTTTTTAAATTTAAATACTTTGTCATCCTGCGTCCCCCTTTGAAAGTTTCCTGAGGCCCCAGTTGAGAACTTCTGACCTAGCAAACACTGTACTTTCTCTATTAGCAAGCAGAAAATGCAAAACTATGTTTTTTCTTTTTGTTAAATGATTTTAACTTTTAAAAAAGTATTATTAATAGTTTAAAATGAGAACATGCATCATTATTGACCATTACTACTCACCATTTTATTTTGAAAATGTCATAAAAGTTTATTTGCACATTGTAAGCCTAAAGAAGGTAATTTGACTGAAATGTTGCAAATGAAATTTTAGAGTGAGAATGAGTTTATCCAGTGCATTTACAAATGATAAGGGTGTGTGAGGCACTATATTTTCTTTTTTGAAAAAGTCCAAATCTGTGTATGATTTTACTGTAAACTCGCAGTCTGAGTGTTTTTTTTAGTTAGTCTTGTGTTTGGTTTTTTCAGGATGAACTGGCCCGTGTTCTGGTGACTCTCTTTGATTCGAGGCATCTCCTGTATCAGCTCCTGTGGAATATGTTCTCCAAGGAGGTGGAGTTGGCAGATTCCATGCAAACGCTGTTCCGTGGCAACAGCCTGGCCATTAAAATCATGACGTTCTGTTTTAAGGTACCTCTACGCTTCCCCTGGCATGCACTGAAGCCAAATGATCATTCAAATGATCCAGATTAAGTTTAGCTGTGAATTTCCTTCTTGGAAACTCATGGAAACTCCCTCTTTCAGGTATACGGGGCCACGTATCTGCAGAAGCTGTTGGAGCCGTTGCTCAGGGCAGTGATCACGGGTACTGAGTGGCAGATGCTGAGCTTTGAGGTGGATCCCACCAGGTATCTGTATGACTGAACCTTTAAATCAGTGATTCGCAACTGGCATGTTGGTGCAAATTCACCTGTCACTTGATAAAAGCTAAGCAAATTAGGCAGAAGCATCATGGACAGATTGCAAAACATGCTGTCATCCCCAAACCATGAACAAAACTACACAAAGTAAAAGAGAATTTAACCCAGAGAAATTTAAATAGAGGTTCACTTGCAATGAGGATAAACTGATTTGCACCGACCACACTGTGTTTTGTGTGGTTAATAAAGATAAATGTGGTTAACTTGTTGAAATTCAATTAGTATTTAGAAATCAAAATATTTTCCTACTCAGCCTGTGCCAGCATATTAATAATTTTGCGTATTATATAGTCCTGTGCAGTTCATTGTGATGTAAATATATTTTAATGTTTGATTTTAAGGACATTTTGTGTACTTTTATGTGATAAACTTTTTTGGTGCTGTGTCTTATTATCCATTAAATACAGCAGACATGCATATGTGATAGTCAGATTTTGGTCGGAGATAATTAGGTTGTGTTCTTCCTGCAGACTTGAGACTGGTGAGAATTTGGAGGAGAACCAGCGCAATCTGTTACGGATGACCGATCGCTTCTTTCAGGCCATAATCGGCTCATCTGGCGAGTTTCCTCCTCAGCTCCGCAGTGTCTGTCACTGTCTCTTTCAGGTGAGGCTGAAGAAACCTCTGAGGTGATTACTCGGAGCGCAAAATGCCTGAAGGATATTAAACCTGTGTGGAGATGGTTTCTGTGTATGTCTGTATCCCCATGTGTTATGATATGTGACCCTGGACCACAAAACCAGTCATAAGGGTCCATTTTTTTAACTTGAGATTTATACATCACCTGAAAGCTGAATAAATAAGTTTTCCATTGATGTATGGTTTGTTAGGATAGGACAATATTTGGCCGAGATACAACTATTTGAATATCTGGAATCTGAGGGTGCAAAAAAATCAAAATACTGAGAAAATCGCCTTTAAAGGTGCAGTAGGAGATCTTGAAAAATGCTAACTTTAGCCTGATAGCACTGAAAGCGAACGTCCCACCCTCCCTGCAATCGCCATCCAAAGCCACGCCCTCTGAACGCATATACGCTCGTCGCTCACAGACCAGAATACCAGAGACAACATTACTACAATAGGCTACATCAGCGGTTCCCAATTCCAGTCCTCGCACTGGATGTGAAGACGTGTGTGTGTGTGTGTGTGAGTGTGATGTGTGTGAAGATGCTGCGCAGCGCAAATCCGTGAATGAATGTTCTGAAGTGAAGTAAACTTCAATGGATTTCCCCTGCTCAGAGAGTAGGGAGCAATGAACACTGTGTAGGGATCATATCGATCGGAACACAGTTCATGCACGTAGCTCACTTCTAACGAGCTGGTTATCTGAATCGGGTGTGTTAACTAAGCGAGACATACAATGCAGAGCTGGGGGGCGTGAGGACAGGAATTGGGAACCGCTTGGCTACATCATGTGTCATTCACCGGTGAGAAAACTTTAAATTAAAATTGTCCACATAAAGTTCTTAGCAATGCATATTACTAATCAAAAATTAAGTTTTGATATATTTACGGTAGGAAATTTACTAAATATCTTCATGGAACATGATCTTTACTTAATATCCTAATGATTTTTGGCATAAAAGAAAAATCGATAATTTTGACCCATACAAAATTTTTTTGGCTATTGCTAAAAATATACCCAAGCGACTTAAGACTGGTTTTGTGGTCCAGGGTCACATATTACTAATGTCAAATATGCTTCAGTTTTGCTGTGGAGACTGTTGAATTAAACCGTTTAAAGCCAACATGAAATCAAAATTGACATTCTTAATGCATGTTTCTGGTCTTATTTAAGCACAATTTATCACAAATGAGATGGCCTTTGGAATCTAATTAAATGTTGTAGCTTATTTAAAATGTGATTTTAAATCTGAATTGTGCTGAGGCTGTAGAACTGGTTTCTGTCAAATACATATTTGACATCAGTCCCTGTGTATGTGATGAAAAGGCCACACAGAATCTGCAAACCGTTTTCTGCACTTAAGTTAAGTGTGATAATTTACAAAAGGTTGATTTTACGAATGCTATATAAATTCATTGTAACTGTGCTACATAAATGAGGCCAGTTGTGCAGGAAAATCTGTGGAATTCTGCCGAATGAATTATAATGGTAAAAAATTTAAACTACACTATAGTGCAAAAGTTTGAGGTCAGTTTTATTTTATTTTTTTAATTAATACTTCTATTCAGCTAGGATCCATTAAATTGATTAAAAGTGACAGTAAAAAAAATTTGTAATGTTATAAAAGACTTTTCCATGCACATTCTTTGCATGCCTAATAGTTAGGAAACGCGCGTGCGTGCGTGCGTGTGCGTGTGTGTGTGTGTGTGTGTGTGTGTGTTAGCTTGTGCCATGACTTGTTTGTGCTCATTTCTGTTCTGTAGGCTACTTGTCACTCTCTCCTGTCTAAAGCATCTGTCAAAGACAGAAAGGAAGTGAGGAAAGCAGTAAGTGTGAATGGCGGATGTATCTGCTTCCTTTTTTGTGCACTCTGGCCTGCATTACTGTCATTACATTAAATCATGTCTACTAATTTCCTGATTTTTGGCAAGCTGAAGCTTTCACTGAATGTACCTCTTAGAACCAGCTCCAGGAAAAACAACAAACGCTGTAGCTCCGGCCATCATCTTTGCATGAGCCGTCACTCTCAGGACTGAGGGTTGGAAATTATCAGGGCATTGAATGCAGTGATACATTGTGGGTAATGCAATTTGGTAACGAACTTCGCCCCTTTTTGAATGCCAGAATGATTTTACGCTTGACTGTTCAACCTGAAATGTTTATTCTGAGTAAAACGCATTTCTCTGTAGTGCCATTTTAAATGCTTTGCTTTTCCCTCTTTTCTTCTCTAACAATCTTAAAGTTCACTGGTGAAGACCTCCGCCATCATTAGACTGTTTAACGGCTTCAAACTGCTTTCCACACTTTAACTCTAAAGCCTCTGGTGCCAATTCATTCAGATAGTTCCCTCACAGAACCTCATGTTATCCCCTTAACCAACAAATATCATATGATCATCTACACCTTGACTTTAAAATGTTCAGATGTATTAATGCTATTATGAATTTTGGTTCTGGATTGGAACTGCCCTAATGAAATAGCATCATGTTACCTCATAAAATCCTTTTTTCACGTTCCTGTGTATTTCTGTTTTGGTTTCAGGTGGTGAGACAACGTTTCCCACAGAACAGTATTGGAGCAGTAGGTAGTGCCATGTTTCTGCGTTTCGTGAACCCGGCTATAGTCTCTCCCTACGAGGCTGGGATTCTCGACAAAAAGCCTTCGCCCAGGATAGAAAGAGGCCTTAAACTCATGTCAAAGGTGAGAGTATTTTGCATAGAGATGAAATGAATACTACTTTTATAAAAATTGTCCATGCTGGAAAACAGGTTGTACCAGCTTATGTTGATGCTGGTCCAGAACGGTCTGCCAGATCAAAAGCAGGTCCATGATCTGGAAAGCCAACCATCTAGAAGGGTTTAATTAATCAATAAGCCACTTAAATAATAGCAATAATGCCTAAAATCACTGCAGTGCATGGCCATGAGTGTTTTATTACTTTAATAGAAGCATGATGAAAGATAATATATTATAATGTACAATAAAGTTGTTGACCAAACGGAAAGATTTGGAGGTTTCCATTTTAAACAGACTTGCATTTCATTTGTCAGATCCTGCAAAGTATTGCCAACCATGTTTTGTTCACGAAAGAGGAGCACATGAGGCCGTTTAATGACTTTGTGAAGAGTAATTTTGATGCAGCCAGAAGGTAAGAAAGCGATTAGTGATCTTCAGGATTTAGATCCTGTCACCAGCTAGTTTAAACTTTGGGTTTCCTTCTAGATTTTTCCTGGACATCGCCTCTGACTGCCCGGCGAGCGACTCTCTCAACCACAGCCTGTCCTTCATTAGTGATGGGAATGTTTTGGCCCTGCACAGGCTGCTGTGGAACAACCAAGAGAAAATCGGCCAGTATTTGTCTAGTAACAGGTGAGCTGTGAAAGACTTGTGCCATCAAGTCAGTATCAGAGAGACTGTTATTGGAAGTGCAAATGCAGTTTGGGCATGTCTTGAGCTTAGATTCTTGGAATTTTGCTCATTCAAATCTCTATATTTGGTTGGGAACTGATTTGCATTTTTTACTTTCCCTCCTCGACTTGTTTCTCTCTGATCTGATTGTATTGGTAAAACACTATCTTTAAGGGACAGCTGTTTTGTTGTAAAAATAATCATCATCCATTTTCTGTCATGCTTTATATCTGTGCTTCAGGAAAATATTGTAATGTAAGCATACAATTATTGATGATTCTCAAATTCTCAGTGAAGTTTCAGTTAATCAGAGAATATTTTTCCAAACACTTCAGGGATCATAAAGCTGTTGGAAGGAGGCCCTTTGATAAGATGGCCACCCTGCTTGCTTACCTGGGTCCCCCAGAACACAAACCTGTAGCAGATACTCATTGGTCCAGCTTGAATCTCACCAGCTCCAAATTTGAGGAGTTTATGACAAGGTAGAAAATGTTGCACTGTATTTAAATTTTTTTTTGTCTTCCAGTATGCACAGTATTTTTGTCTATTGAATTAGTATTTTTCTAACACATTTTTTTTTCTTATTTTAAGCTGAAACCTTTCTTTTTATTTTTCTTTAGACACCAGGTGCATGAGAAAGAAGAGTTTAAAGCGTTGAAGACTCTTAATATCTTTTACCAGGCTGGAACCTCAAAGAACGGAAACCCTGTGTTTTACTATGTAACTCGCAGGTAAGACTTAAAAAAAAAAAAGAATTACAAAAGCACACAGCGTTCTTTTTGTTCAAAGTTTTATTGCTTCTGAAAACAATCAGTTAACTAACAATAGCTTACAGATGCATAGATGTACTTTTGCTGATTAAAGTATGAAGATATTACAGCATTTTACAGCAATAAATAAAAACAAACCTGATTTCCCATTTCATAATAGTTGTGAATAGTATCAATATTTTTCATATTTGAAATATTTTTCTCTAATGTTAAGCAAAAAGCTGTTTGTTACAAGCTGTGTCACATCTACGACAGTTGCATAGAATTTCAGAAAAACTATTACGTCTCCGAAGAATCTCACGTTATTGTCTGCCTTCGAAGCACAAGGGAGGTTGATGGTCACTGTATCATCTTTAGAAAGCTCAGAGCCATGGACACAAGCAGCAGAAGTTTGAAGAAGCTAGTCATGGAGGAAGAGGAGGAACTGCTAACGAGGGCGCTGACAGTTGCATCTTTAGCATTCTGGTTTATGCTGTTTTTGGTGGTGGTCATAATCCCATTGGAGCTGGTGGAGGAGCTGGCTGAACTGCCGCCGGTTGTAATTTGGTTAGTGCCGTTCCCATTCTGATTAGCACCGTTGCTATTTTTAGCAGTGCTGTTGGTAGTGGGAGATATAGTAGTAGTGTTTGAACTAAGGGTAATCTGCATACAGCCGAACATCACAACTAGCAGAACCACGCAGGATTCCACTCTTAGAGCCATTTCTCTGGTCTGACAAAAACATAACACAAAAATCATATCAGTATAGAAGTATAAGCATGTCTTTTTTTTACTAGCTCCATAATGATGTTTAACACTTACATATCATCAGTTTTTGATCAGTTTTTAAGATAAAAGATTAATATATGTTCATAGAGGTTGAAAATCATTCAGAATTTAATTTGTGAACACTTTGCATTAGTCCAAAGAAATAATTTAGAGCTGTAAACATTCCCTGGGTACTCACCAGCGGTGCTCCACGTAAATAATGCTGATGTTTTATCTCTGCAAGCGGTGATGTGCAGTGTCTCTAAACAGATGCAGATGCTTTTAATAATGCCACCAGTGGAAGAAGTCACATGATTCTTCGAAAAGGAGGGTCAGTGATGGAAAGATCATGCTGACAAGATTTCCTTTTGTTTAACAAATTGTTTGTTTGCTTTTCATGAGGTATCATGGTTACAATTGGAAGACTGGCTTGAGTTGCTGTGTTTACGACAAAAGATTTCCAAATATAGATAAGTCTTATTTTAAATTTGATATGCCTACATAGCTGGGTAATCTGACAAGTGTTTATCACTGTTATTAGTAATAACAGGGTTTCTAAATGTTTTGTGTTCTGTCAGAAGATGATAATAAAAGCATGATGGTGATAAAAATAAACTGCTTTCCCAGCTGGAAAATTCTGTTAACATCAGCTTAAGCTACGTTTTTGAAACGTGAATACGTGATAGATGGTTTCGAGCTTCTCATCACTGGTTTAGGTAGTTGTGAAGATGGCTTACCAGCTGTTTGGGACCTGAAGGAGCTGGTAGACCATCTTGGTCAAGTGTTCCTGCTGGTTGTCAGTAGTTTTTGGCTCATTTTAGTGACTGATTTATTACTTTACATAAAACTGTACATGGTTAAAATCTGTTTTTTAAAATGACATTCAAATGTAATTTGTTTTGACCGTGGATGGACAAGTGATGCTTTGCCAAGTGGTGAAAGTTTGGCTGGTTACCATCAGTGTTTAATCCCTGCTAATAAATGCCATAGTTGTACCCTTAAGCAGGCAGAACGCATATTTCTTTATTGAATGGCATCACAAAGTAGCTTTGTGTTCTGATGAAAGTCATTATATTTAATTATATTGATTTTATAATTTTTATATTATAGATTTTATTGAACAGTGCAAAGCTTTTGATTAAAAAAATAATGCTTTTTTTCATGTTTTTATTATTGCAGTAGTATTAATAGAATCATGCATTTAACTTAATCATTTTTTAAACAAAATGGATTGTCAGAAGTTAATCTGATTAACATATGAAATGCTTCTACACCCATTTCATGTAAACCTGTATGTCCAGTAATCCTGCTTGTTGCTCCACTTCATCAGTAGATGGAGGTTAGACCTATAGTGTGAGACTGTTCTGTTTTGGAAGCTATTAAGTTCATTTAATGTTTTATTCATTTGTTAACATGAATTAAGAGTTTGATCCAGTTTAGAAGAAAGACCGTGTGACTTGGCTGACCCTCAGAGCCCTTGCATCATGGCCATCAGAAGGAGCGTACAGCAGACTGATGTGTAGAGCGAACCCATACTGCATCTTGAGCTTGTGTTTCGACTGAGGTTGTGATTGGGTCTCTTCACACTGCGTGTACGGAGAGTGGTGGTCCTGCGAGTGGTGAAGAATTTGCCTGTTGTGACTGGGCCTTCTGTAGTTGAATGAGTATTAGAATGGGAAACCTCTGAAGTTGAGGTAAAGAGAAGGCCATTCCTGAAAGACTCCTGTTCCTTGGTGCTTCTAGATCCTGTTTGGTCATCCTTGGTATGTAGGAGTGACGTCCCTGACCAGAAGTGTGTGGTGACCACTTGTACATATGGATGGCTTGGCTCCTCGGTTCCAAAGACGTATGGGGACTGCGTGTTGGTGCCAAAGTGCCAGCTCGCTGTACTGGACAGGTGAGCCTCTCCGCAGGTATGCCAGGTGTGGCAGGGGCAGCCCAACACTCGGGCGGAAGTGTGTTTGGTCCACACCAACAGGTGGCTGATATTGGCAGTTTCTTCACAAGCCCAGGGATTGTCCCCTAGAGTGATGAGCTTCAGACTTTGCAGATACTCGAATGCCCCTTCACTGACCGTGGTGAAGCGGTTTGCGTGCAGGTAAAACTGAGCCAAACTGTGTAGCCGGTACATGGACCCCGGCAGAATCTGGACCAGAGTGTTGTGGGATAGATCCACCACCTCCAGGTTTTGGGGGATGTTGGTAGGTACCGTCCAGAACTTGTTATGACTGAGGTTGAGAGCCTTCAGGTTGGAGAGCGTGTTGTTGATAAAGACCACACGTTCTAGCTTATTGACGGACAGGTCCAGAACTCTGAGGTTCCACTGGTATGCTGTGTCATCCTTGTTAAGAACACGCAGACGGTTTCCTGAGATGTTGATTTCCCACAGCGCCCGTGGCAGCGAGGCTGGGAAGTGAAGCAGACGGTTGTAGGAGATGTCCAGGATGCGCAGATGTGTGAAGGCGCTTAGGTGGTGGTCCAGGTCAGATAGCCGATTGTGGGTCAGGTTGAGGGATTGAATGTTTCGCTGCAGGCCCACCGGCAGATGCCTAACCCCCCTCCGGGAACAGTCAACTGTCCGATGGCTCTCGCTACAGGAACAAACACTGGGACATTCTGCATGTACGTAAGTACATGTAAACCACAGCCAGAGCAGGCAGGACATCACTGCACACACGGGCATCTTCATTGTGTTCCTGTAGACAATTGCAAGAGATTTTTTATTTTTTGCTGAATGCTTGTTTGTTTGTTACATGCAGAATGCATCCAAAGTTTTTTTTTTTTTTGTAGTGTTGTACTAATGTCATGACTGGTAGTAATTTGTGATTTAAGTGAGTATGATTATATCGCGTCTGATTACAGAACGTTTAAAGATTACAGTCTGATTACATGAATTGTGTGATGGCAATGACTATATTAATGTCATTTGTGTCTGATTATAGTAAGTGATAGAAATCTGATTATAATGCACATGAAAATGAGTCTGATAACTGATAGTGTGTTGTATAGTAAGTAATGACAATGAGTCTGAGCTTTAGTGAATCTGATTGTATTGAGTGACTGGGTCTGATGAGGTTAAGTCAGATTAATGTGAGTGATGATAAGTTTATTGATTAATGCTATTTGTGTCTGATTATATTGACTGATTTAGTACATAAATCTGATTAATGAGTGATGGCAATGAGTTTGACTATTTTGAGTAATGCAGTCTGTGTGATTTATAATTGGTGTAAGCAGGCTCATTATAATGAAGATAAAATTTAGTGTCTGACCTTTGTGAGTTCGATTACAGTGTGTCTGATGCTATGTAATTATGGTGAGTCCAAATTTGATTATATTGAGTGACCGATTAGGTCTGATGACAGTAAGTCTGATTATTGCGAATGATGACAACGAGTCTGACTATACTGAGTAATGCAATTTGTGCCCGATTACAGTGTGTTAACGCAGTCTGATTATACTGACTGACTGAGTCTTATTACATGACGTCTGATAACTAAGTGATGGCATATAGTTTATTTTGAGAAATGAAATTTGTGTCTGATTATAATGGGGTCTGCGTGAGTCTGATTACACAGTGTGTCTGATGCCACATAATGACGATGAGTCTGAACTTTAGTGAATCTGAATATAGTAAATAATTAAAATGACAATGATTATGGTTAGTGATGATAATAAATCTAATTTTAGGGAGTGATTACCGTGGGTCTTATATAATCTTTGGTATTGATTTAAAAAAAGTCAATGTAAAAGTTTAATGTGTATGTATGTATGAGTTTTGCCTCTTTTGTTTGCAGTTGTGAAGCTAGTCAAAGCATTGGCATGAGTTTTGAGAAACAGTTTTACACATGCAAACGTACAGCAGAGCTGTGAAGGTCTTCATGCAGTGGCTCTGCAGATCTGCCTGCACCTAGATCTGCTCGACTCTCTAAGCATGTGCTTAGAAAAAAACAGCATTTATATATAACGTGCTTAGATGCTTGTTCATATCATGCTACATTACATGGAAATGTGATTGTGAGTCTAATCTTTCCTCAGGGTAAACCTTGCTGCATTGTGAATTACTTACCTTCTCCTTGTCATCACTCTATGCTCCTTTTTCCTGTCCTCTTTCTGTCTTTCAGTTTCTCTCCATCTCTCACCTCTTTTTTTCTGCTTGATCTCCAGATTAGCACCGCTCTGATCTCTTATTTTTTTTATGCTATTCTCGCTTT